CCTGAAATCTATATCTCCCTAAGTTACGTGTTTAAATTTCGCAATAGTAGTTATAATAGAAAAATCAAACTCTTGATTATCTTGTACAATTAAAATCGACGGACATGGCAAATTAACAAAAAGCAATCGGTGAATCAAGCAATATTCATGTCATTTGGAGAACAAAACTAGGGAAATCTAATAATTTTCTTGCCACTTTTTCCCAACACCAACAACGAGAAACGTTTTCATTTTTTTCTTTAACGATGACGTTTGATCAATTTGCGTACACTTTTATTATTACAACGAGCACTTGAGAATTGTTAGTCAATGTTGATACCAAATATGTTCGCTCCTGAAGTTTAGACGGATGAAAATCCTCAATTGTTTTTTCTCTTTCTCTTTTTCTTCTATCCTTGAACAGTAATCGCAGGATAAGTTATCTCAGGATAAAATAGTAATATTGACAATTCCAATATTAATACAACATACCAAATAGTTAATAAGAAATAATACCAATATAATTAATCTCAACATAACTAATCCTAGTATAACTAATCCCATCATAACTTGTCTTCAAACCAAACGACCCCTAATTTACGTTATTTCAAGAATTATGGTTTTCTTTCAAAGTTTGAAAAAATATAGAATGAACGAAATCAAGTGTTTGAACTACGCTACCAAGAGATGTTGGATCGATGACACCTCGCCAACTTTTAACTAGAGGTCTCGAGTTCAAATTTTGGGAATAAAAAAATTTCTTATAGGAAGTTTCTCCTTTAAATGAAACTTACATAGTGAAAATCCGAATTAGTCGAGTAGTTATTTCCAAATATTAAATGATTAACCTCGGAATAAAAAGTGTTTGAACCGATAAACGGATGAGTTGAAGACGAACTTTATCTTTATATTTAGGTCAAGCAGTTACTTTTCCTATAGTTTATGCGTTGTTAATAGTCTAATTTTGGTTGGTCTTACGTTGAAATATAAGTACCTAAATTCAAATTAGTTCTATCTTCCATTGACCACAATCTCTTCTTCTTTTTCCTTTTCTTCCCCCTTTTTTCCCCTACCAGAATCAGTGGTTAATTGGTTTGCGTGAGTTAATTTTTTTTTACTTCGTTTAGGTAAAATATTCTATCTGATTCTTTGAATTTAGATAATATGATGTTACCTTAAAAAGAAAAGAACTAGCGGAAACCTTCTTATATTGTGACACTCATATTAATCTTATTATATGGTTTAATAGAATATTTTTAATCTGTTACCAAAAGACATAAATATATGACTTAGAACTTTGCTAGAAAAACTAGCTTCTTTGTAATAGTGTCAGCCAGCTTGCGCGTATTTCAACTATTGCATTAAGCACCCGCTTTAAAACTGGTCAAAATTAACCCTCGGTATATAATACAATAGTCGTCTAACTAGGATTAATGGTGTGCTTTTGAGACATTTGGCATGTCCAGAAGTATTTGTTCAGCAAATTATTAGGTATAAACCCGAAATTTTATTTTGTGAATGCTAAAACTTATATCTTTTGCGTAAACAAACTTTGGTTGATAAATTTTGAATGCTAGAATCTGTCACCGTTATCCTGATAGAAAAGTATGTATTTTGTTCAATCTGCGTACACTTCTATTATTACAACGAGCACTTGATAAATGTTTGTCAATGCTGATACCAAATAATTTTACTCCTGAAAGTTTAGACGGATGAAAATCTTCTATTGTTTTTAGTCCTTCTCTTTTTCTTCTATATATTATGTATATATTCTCGCTACTTACTTTCCTTATTTTTACTTTCTTTATTTTACTTCAATTTCTGGACGAACTGTCAAGCCACCCTCCTTCCGTGAAATGCTTGATTTCTTTTTTCTTGACCTCTGTATTTTTACCTGATTTACAAATATGTAGAATATAGAAAATTAAATAAACGCTTCACTTTAGCTCCAAATAAAATTTCGATGAGTACCATAAAGCCCTCTGATTACCCATAAACGAAATAATCCAAAACCTTCACCTAATACTGCTTTTATCAAACGTTATAGCTAAAAGAATAAACATTTGAGGTTAACTCTACTCTACTATGTAATAAATCCTTATCAAGTTATAGCTTTGTAACAAGAAGAATTCCATTGCACTTTTGCTGCCTATATTAAGGAAACAGTGTTTTAGGAGTGACAAAAGAAAACAAATAAGAGAAAAGTAAATCGCGTAGTATGGGATACTGTGATTGTCTGGTTGCTCCATGTGACATATCTCATCGCCTCTACACCACTTTGGGCCTTTGGCATTAAAGTCTCCTACTTTGCTTCCCTTTCCCTTTTCACACTAACACACAATCAAAGACCTTACATATTTCTATCACCCCCTTAATTATTCTCCTCTCCCCTCTCCCCTCTCCCCTCTCCCAATGGCCACACACTTTTTTAATCATCTTGTCTAAAATTCAGATCTAACTGAGGCTTTAAATTTGGAAAGAAGCCTCGTTAGATTAGAAACAAGAGTCATTGATTTCAGTACATATGGCTCCACTTCCACATTCCTGCAGCTTTACTAAGGTACTTTTAGTACTCTCTCTTGTTTTTGTGTTATTCACTCTTTCATTCTTTTCTGCATATAGTGAGGTCCAACCCCAAAATAATGTTAGAAGCAGAAGAATGTTGGAACTAGAAAATGAGTCAAAGCCAATTAAGAAGAAAACAAATCCAACTTCACTTTCAGCTTCCAAGAACCAAACCAAACTTATTAAATCCTCCAATACTTCTTCCAAGAATCAAACCAAGCAAATCAAGACTTCTTTTTCTAGCTTTGGTTCAACCAAGAACCAAACCAAGCTTTCAAAAACCAAACTTTCCTTTTCTGATTCACAAACCAAGAATAAAAGCAAGCTTGTCAGGCCCAGCTCCAATTCTAGTCCAACCATTACCAAATCAGAGAAACTTACCTTCAAATCCCAGCTCCAGAAGGTCAATCCAACTTCCTCCAAGCCCTCAAATTCAACCAAAATCAGTTCCTCCACCACCAAGAAATCCTCAGATCTAACCAAAATCAGCTCAAGCTCTTCTCCCAAGAACAAAACAACCAAAGCCACTAAACCCCAATTAGAAAAAGACACCAGTGAATCCAGGTCCATATCCATAACTCCAACTAAAAACCAGCCCACTGACAAAATGACCAAAGCCACTAAAACTCAATTGGGGAAAGACATCAGTGAGCCCAAATCCAAACCCAAAACCCCAATTAATAAAAACCAGCCCACAGACAAAAAACCCAAGACACAACAGACGGCCCAAAAACATTCACGGTACAGCTGGCTTGAAGATGATGAAGAAGATGATTTAATTTCTGGATTCAGAGATTTACCCTCCAAATTCCAAGAAACCCTTTTGCCAGATTTGGAAAGACTTTCAAAGACCTCTAAAGTTTACCTCAACAAAGCAAACAAAGAAATAACAAAAAATTTCAAGCCCTATGTCGGAAACAAATATGCACCAACAATTGCCTCTATTATCTCATTTGCATTCATCTTGATCCCTTTACTAGTTGTTTCTCTCATTTTCAATAAAATCAAAGCCTATTTCTCTCTCCAAAAGCTCTTAATCTTCATCCAAGTTTACCTCTCCATTTACTTCTCCATTCTCTGTCTTTCCTCTTTGGTCACTGGCTTAGAACCTTTGAAGTTTTTCTACGCTACTGCTCAATCCACTTACATTTGCTTACAAGTATTGCAAACTCTTGCTTATGTGCTGTACCTATTGATGCTGCTAATGTATCTGATCTTAGTGTTTTCCACTGAGACTGGGCCCACCATGAAGCTGATTGGGCTGGCCCAAACATTTGTGGGCTTTGCTGTTGGGCTTCATTATTACTTGACGGTGTTTCATAGGGCTGTGCTCCATCAACCACCTAAGACTAGCTGGAGGGTTCATGCCATTTATGCTGCATTCTTCCTTGTCATTTGCCTGGCAACTACTGCTGATAGAAGGAAAAAGGCTTATTTAGTACAAGGTGGCGAGGTTGAGAAAAAAAGCTAAAGATTTTTATTCACCTTTTTTTCTTCTTTGTTTTACTTAATGATCTATAGATTCTATAGTGAGATGGCAAAATCGAAAAAAGAAAGATTTTTGTTGTCTATATATATATGTGTGTGTGTCTTGCAATCTGTCAGTTGTTAAGATGTTATTAATAATTGATGGAATTCAATTTATGCAATTTTTCCAGATAAATGCACTCCCTTTGTATCACTCTAAACAGTGTTGTTTTATGGCTTGTTTGGATGGTTATTACATATCGTTTTATAATGTAATCCCTCCGTTTCAATTTAAATGATCTAATTTGACACGGCACGAAGTTTAAGAAAACAAATAAAATTTTTGAAACTTGTGGTCTTACAAGCTTAAGAGATAAAAGCTTTGTGGTGCCATGACATTTATGTGGTTATAAAAGTTTCTCATTAAGGGTAAAATGAGTAAAATAAAGAGTTTAAAGTTGAATTATTTCCAAATTTAGAAATGTGTCATTTATTTTAGAACAGACTAAAAAAGAAAATACTTCATCTAATTTGAAACGGAGGGAGTATTATATTATATTATATTATATTATATTATATTGTGTTGTATTGTATTATTTTGATGAATACAACATTTTATATTTTGTATGTTTTTCCGTCATTTCATGATACGATATATTAACAATAATATAAAGAATAAACTTACAATATTACGACTCAATGGCCTTTTATTTCTTTGCTTCATGTTCAAATTCCATCCATTACATACTTTGATTGTGAGTGCATTAAATTTATTTTTCAACTAGTAAATCTATCCGCGCTTCGCGCTGTCATAAACAAATGAATTAACGATTTCTTTTACTTTTTTATAATATAAGAAATGTTAATTAAAAAATAAAAAAGGAAAAATTAAATGCTAATTCATATAAACATTTAGGACATGCAATTCTAATCTTTGGTACACAGTGATGAAAGCTATTCACGTGAAGCTATACGTCGGCCAAATCAAAATTCAAAATCTGCATTTAGACTTTAATCCAATTTGCAAGTTTAGCAGTTTTTATAAGCAAAATAGATATGCAATTTGATAAAGTTCAAAAGCATCTTGAACCCAAGTGGAGGGATAAGGAAATACAATATCAAACTCACGACTTGCTCCTGAGTCTTGTCCTACCTTTAACCTAAATGCTACATGTCTAAATCAAATATACATAAAATAGTCCTCATTGCATGATATCTTCCCACTGCACATCAATCTTGTTGTAAATTCACTTGTCTACTTTTGACTTAACCTGCATTCAGATGAGCTATGCAAGTTTATATTGTTCCTCTTTCTTTTCTTGCCTTCTTTCCCTTTTTAGTTGTTATTTTAGAGCAGCATCGTTAAAACGTGAGAGGACATGTAATAGTATCTTAACACCAAGTTTACACTTCAAGAAAGTACCTTTATGAATTGCTGATCAATTATAAAAAGGAAAATATAAGATTTATAAACATTATATTGGTTATGTCCTGATGTGTTGGTGAAATGAAGAGTGGACGACATACTGAGAGGTAAAATCTGAAATGAAAAGAAACAAATTCAGAGTAAGTTAACAATGCAACTCAAGAAATTGCCCATATATTAGAACAAAGCAAATCAAAGAAAGAGAAGCACAAAGAGCAAAAGGTCACTTGTCTACGATATCTTAAAAAATTGTCTATCCAAATTCGTAATAGAATAGATTCGAGATATCGGGGTTATCTTATTTTCGTTGCATCACTCAGTTCAATTCAATGATTAAAAAACTGAAAATGAGAAATGATAAGGTCGGATAGGAGTTGTAGGGTTGCTGGAACATGGAGCTTTAAGTCATCAAAGAGGCTAAACCATTTAATGAGAAAAAGGTAAAAGAAAAATAAAAAGGAGAAAAAAGATAAATAGATTTCTTAGCCTAAAAGAGGTGTCAAGTCATCAATACTATGACCACAATTATTATTTAATCATCATAGATGCAAATTAACGCATAAATTCTTTCAACAACAGTTTAACAGTAAGCTGGTCAAATATTTCTCTCAACAATTCAAGATAAAGTTGATCAAACGTTCAATCCGGCTTATCATGCATATAATAAGGGGCAATAGAGAAAGAAATATAAAAACATCTTCGAAAGCACATTTAGTCACTATGCTTAAAGTGCTCAGAATTTATCCAATGCATAGTATCAAGAATCAAAACAGCATCGAGGGGCAAACAGTACTTTACTGAAATTCCAATGGATTAGGCTTTGAGTTTTCTAAAGACCAAATTGAATGACCAAGGGCATTAATATGACAACAACAAACTTCAGAATATTAACTCCGATGCAAATATAAATAAGTCGCACCTTCAACTCTCCATGTAATATGATACGATAAAGTTAACAATAAATATGTACATGCACACGCATATCGACACTCGTTTCTTTTCTGAATCAAATTAATTGATATGGTGGAAATATGAAGCATACTACACCAGTTACAGTGAATGTCATCTTAATATATATACGTATATATTTTCTCTAAGATATTTTATAAATATATGATTCAAGTCAATGAACGAATACTACATCAGCTCAGAGAAAGACCGGTGCTACTGACATTTAGGAATATTCTTTTGCTCTAGTTTTCTAAGTTTTGAAAAGTGATAACCACAAATACATAGAACACAAAGGTCTTTTGATGGTGGAGCAGAGAAACCGGCAAGATTCACATAACTTATTGCTTTGAGGCCAATAAAACTTACATTAAATTGAAAAATTCTCATTGTCCTACGACCACTGTTTCTTTAGTCAAGTATTATGGAATTGATATTGGAGATCCATACTTCAGTTGAATTAGAATTATTAGTTTCAAGTTTTAACTCGATTTTTAAGTCATTTGAAGGTACATATATTATATTCAGGCTAAGCTATTCAAAAGTGAAATATTTTAACATTTAACAATAAGTGTTAAATATAATTCTCCTAAAAATAATTCTTATATCGTGACTTAAATGTCAGGTTAACAGTAAATATGAACTCCAAGAGTTATATGGATTTTTAATTCCAATAAAACTTGAAAGTAATGACTATCACCTCTGTTACTCAATGATACATTTATGAAATTTTTATATTCATATTCTTTCATCTTTGGACCTTATCATATTATCCAACATATAAAGAGCATGTCAAAGACTATTGTTTCTTTCACCTTTTCATATGAATAAGCGTAGTTACCTGATATTTAACAAATGTTAGAAAACTAATGCTGCCAAAAATCCCAATGAAAGACTTCGTACCGAACTGCAAAATTCAAAAAATTAAAACCAAGAAAAAATATGGAGATAAAAACCCGAAAAACAACCCTCAAGAAAAAGTTACATAGACGCAGTCAAAAAGAAAAAGAGATACCATTGAGGACATTTGAATTTGGAGGTCAATTTCCTGAGTCGTAGTTACTGGAGCATCAAGACATATACTCAAGACAACCACCTGCATGAATGACAGAGATTCAATATGAGAAAAAGGAAAAAGGTCCAAATTTCCATTCTCAAGTTCTAATAGAATCCCCAAACCCTCTTTCAAGAGAACCCATTACAATTCCTAATATAAATTACCTTAAAAAATAATCGAACATCTACAAAGAAAGAAAAAGGACTGAAATTTAAGAAAAGAACTACCTCCTCGTGGTTAGAGTGGCTAAAATTCCCATGGATTAGGTTTTTCGATTCAAAAGATCAAAGAGAATACCCTAGCACATTAATATAACAACAACAAACTTCACAATCTGACCACAGAAAAATTTGATATTGGTCATTATCATTCCTTATGCTTACTTGAATCTTCTTTGTCCTCAACATTCGTCTCCTCTTTGAATATGAAGAGCATATATGCATATGTGAAAATTGAGAGGATAACGTTTCGAAAACGGGATATTAGCAACCGCTTTGGAAATGGAAATTAAATATATAAAGTGCAACTAAAATTTTTTGTGAAAAGAAGTGGCCCTTCGGGAATAGGAAAGAGTGAAATATAGAGGGAAATGGCAAAAATATGGGAATTTAGATAAATATAAACCGTGGACAGTGAGAAGTGCCACGTCATCACTCTTCTATTTCCCTGAATTATAATTATATATAGATTTGATAGGACTGTTAAATTGATTCCCAATGTCATGTCGTTCTGGGATTTGGACTATTTGGTCTACATCTTATTAATGATTAGATAAGATTGAAGAGAACACTGAAAATGTGACAATCCGATAGGTCGTTTTGAGCACTAGCTTTTATTTTCATGTTCTGAGACCTCCGTTAGCTTTGTTTGATGTTTCTTGATTTGTGTACGTAGTTCGTGTCGCTTTTTGAAAAGCTTTTATGTAAAAAATTTGAAGAAAATATAATTTTTGGCTTTAAAAATAACTTGAGTTGACTACGATCAACATTTTGTGAAATGTCCTCGGATCGGTATTTTGACGATTCTGGTAGGTCCGTACCGTGATTTTGGACTTGGGCGTATGTCCGGAATTGAAATTGGAGGTCCCTAGGTTGGTTTGACTCATTTTGCCGAAAATTAGTATTTTGAAAGTTTGGAAATTTTCTAAGTTTGACAGTAAGTTGGCTTCAAGGCTATCGGGTCGGATTTTAATGTTGGAACTTGGTATAAGTCAGTTTTACTATTTAAAACTTGTCTGCAAAATTTGGTGCAATTCGGAGTTGGTTTGACATGATTCGGACGCTTAGATGTGATTCTAGTTGTTCTTGAGTTCTCTTTGAAATTTCATTCATTTTGATGTTCGATTTGTGGTTTTAGATAATATTTTGGTGATTTGATTGCGCGATCGAGTTCGTATGATGTTATTACACTTGTGTGCATGTTTGGTTTAGAGCCCGAGGGGCTCGGGTTATTTTTGGACATGTTTCAGATGAGTTTGGATAGTATAAGGACTGCTGGTGCAGTGCCCAGTTCTGGTGTCTGGTGCAAATCTCGCATTTGCGATCCTCGCTTTTGCAAATAATTGTTTGCATTTGCGAGTAGGGCCTGGGATTGGGTAACCTTGCATTTGCGAGGAAATTGTTCGCAATTGTGAACTGCCCTGGATCGCTTTTGCGATCACTTGGTCGCATTTGCGATGCCTCGCAACAGTAGAGCATCTTTGCAATTGCGAAGATTTGGCAGATACCGGAGTTGATTCCAGTAGCGCATAGTGAGATTGCCCGGATATAGCTACTTGTGGATACTTGAGGTATAGCTGCACGACGTACGCAACCCGGAAGTCCCCTTCTATTTAGTCATTGTTGTTTATTTAGATTCAAACAGTTGTGTCTATTCAGACATTTGTTTGTAGTTCTCTAGATGCTCATGTATTCGTGACTCCAGTTTCTGGGATTGTATTTAGATTACGTTGTTCAGTAGTTTATCACTTTATTTCAAACTATTCGGTTGTTATTGTAATCATTTTGGTTGAATTGCTAAAAACTGGTTAATAAATTTAACTAACGTTGGCTTGCCTAGTAAGTGAAATGTTAGGCGTCATCGCGGTCCTTAGGGTGGGAATTCTGGGTTGTGATAAGTTGGTATCAAAGCACTAGGTTGCCTAGGTATCACGAGTCATGAGCAAGTTTGGTAGAGTCTGGAGGATCAGTACAGAGGCGTCTGTACTTATCTTCCAGAGGCTATAAGGCTTTAGGAAAAATTTTACTTCTTTCTTTCTCTATCGTGCGGCTTATTTTCATTATTGAAGTTTGAACCATTCTACTTTTGTTCTCTCGTAGATGGTGAGAACTCGCATAACGTCTACAGTCGGGCAGGAGCCAGAGCCCCTATTGCAGCCACTACCAAGGGTAGGGGCCGAGGTAGAGGAAGAGCTCAGCCTGGAGCACGAGCAACAGCACCCATGGTGGGGCCTCAGATTGATCATGAGGAGGAGGTCCCAGTTCAGACCGCACCAATCAGACCCACTCAGGTCCCAAAGGGATTCATTGTCACTCCCGTACTTCAGGATGCTCTAGTCTGCTTAGTTGGACTCACGGAAAGTGTGGATCAGACCGGGGTATTTCCTATGGCACCAGCTATCTCTCAAGCTGGAGAAGGAGCATAGACTCCCTCCACTCACACTCTAGAGCAGATGGCTCCCTATACCAGACTCCGACAACTCCATTAGTTGGGGTAGTTCAGTCCGTTGTTGCTACATAGCCCGGGGAGAGGCCCGCGATGTCTTCTGAGGGATTAATAAGGTTGGATAAGTTCACCAAGCTATTTACTGTTCACTTTAGCGGTGCACCTTTTTGAGGATCCACGGGATTATGTGGACCGTTGCCACGAGGTGTTACGCAACATGGGTATTGTTGAGACCAATGGGATCGACTTTGTAGTGTTCCAGATGACCGGTTCTGCCAAGAGGTTGTGGCAGGATTTTGAGCGGAGCAGACCAGCTGGTTCACCTTCACTTACCTGGGATGGTTTTTGCAGCTATTTCTGGCAAAGTTTATTCCTTTCACTCTGAGAGAGGAGTACCGTAGGTAGTTCGAGCGCCTTTAGCAGGGTGGCATGACCGTCACCCAGTACGAGACAAGATTTGTAGACCTAACCCGACATACAGCTATTTTGATTCCCACTGATAGAGAGAGGGTGAGAAGGTTTACTGATGGCCTTACTTTAGGCATCAGGCTCCAGATGGCCAAGGAGACAAGGGATAATATTTCTTTCCAGAAGGCAGTAGAGATTGCTAGATGGATCGAGATGGTTCATGGTCAAGATAGAGGGATCGTATCTGAGAAGAGGCCTCGTCACTTTGGTGGATTCAGTAGTGCCTTATCTAGAGGCCGGGGTTCTTTTGGTAGAGACCATCCTCCCAGGATGATTCAGTCAACTCTTCAGGTAGCACACGGTGCTTCGGGCGATCGCGGTTCTTATAGGTCTCATCCTGAGCAGCCAGCATTAAGTGCATCTTTAGCTCCTATCAGTGCACCACCACTATAGAGTTACTGCAGTGGTTATCCAGGCCGTCAGGGTCAGCCTCAGCTTCAGCAGCCACAACAACCGAGGGAGTGCTTTGAGTGTGGGGGCACAGGTCACATCAGGAGGTACTGCCCTAGATTGATAAGCAGCAGACCTCAGCAAGGTTCTCATGCCATTATGCTGGCACGGGTTGCTCCACCGCCCGCAAAGCCAGCTAGAGGCGGGGGTCAGGCAGCTAGAGGTGGAAGTCAGGTCATTAGAGGTGGTGGGGCTCAACCCCGTTTTTATGCATTTCCAGCTAGACCTGAGGCAGAGTCATCTGACGCCGTCATCTCTAGTATTGTTCCAGTTTGCCATAGAGATGCTTCAATTCTATTTGATCCGGGCTCTACTTTTTCCTACGTGTCATCCTATTTTGCTTCATATCAAATTACGTCTCATGATTCTTTGAGTACTCCTGTATATGTGTCCACGCCTGTGGGAGATTCTATTATTGTAGATCGTGTTTATCGCTCGTGTGTGGTTTCTATAGGGAGCCTTGAGACTAGTGTAGATCTCTTACTTCTTGATATGGTGTCTTTGATGTTATTTTGGGCATGGATTGGCTGTCACCTTATCACGCTATATTGGACTATCACGCCAAGACAGTAACTTTAGCCATGTCGGGGTTGCCTCAATTAGAGTGGAGAAGGACTACTGAACATTCTTCTAGCCCAGTTATTTCTTATGTGAAGGCTCAACACATGGTCGAGAAGGGGTGTCTAGTATATTTGGCATATATCCCTGATCCTGGTGCGAAGGTTCATTCCATGGATTCAGTACCAGTTATGCATGAGTTTCCAAAGGTGTTTCCTGTAGATCTGCCGAGGATGCCACCCGATAGAGATATCAACTTCTGTATTGACTTATCTCCGGACACTCAGCCTATTTCTATTCTACCATACCGTATGGCCCCAACTGAGTTGAAGGAATTGAAAGAGTAATTGCAGGATTTTCTTGATAAGGGATTTATTAGACCTAGTGTCTCGCCCTGGAGGTGCACCCGTGTTGTTTGTGAAGAAGAAGGATGGTATGATAAGGATGTGTATTGATTATCGACACTTGGATAAAGTCACTATCAAGAACAAGTATCTCTCGTCGAGGATTGATGACTTATTTGATCAGCTTCAGGGTTCCAAGGTGTTTTGGAAGATTGATTTGAGATATGGCTACCATTAGTTGAAGATTACGGCATCGGATGTCCCTAAGATAGCTTTATGGACTCGGTATGGGCTTTATGAGTTCCTAGTGATGTCATTTGGCTGGACAAATGCCCCAGTAACATTTATGGATTTGATGAACTGGGTATTCAAGCCCTATTTAGATTCTTTTGTGATCGTCTTCATTGATGATATTTTGGTATACTCCCGCAGCCGAGAGGAGCAAGAGCGGCATCTTTAAATTGTACTTCAGATCTTGAGATATAGTCAGTTATATGCCAAGTTTTTGATGTGTGAGTTTTGGTTGGATTCAGTTGCTTTTTTGGGTCATGTTGTATCTTTCGAGGTATAAGGGTGGATCCTAAGAAGATTGAGGCAGTCCAGAACTGGCCTAGACCTACTTCAGCTACAGAGATTCGAGGCTTCCTAAGTTTGGCGGGTTATTATCGCCGGTTCGTGGAGGGTTTTTTATTTATCGCAGCCCCGTTGACTAGATGGACCCAAAAGGGTGCCCCATTTAGGTTGTCTGATGAGTGTGAGCTGAGCTTTCAGAAGCTCAAGACTACTTTTACTACAGCTCGAGTGTTGGTGTTGCCTACGGGTTCGGGATCCTACACCGTGTATTGTGATGCATCACGTATTGGGCTTGGAGCAGTATTGATGCAGGATGGCAGGGTGATTACATATGTGTCTTGACAGTTGAAGGTTTATGAGAAAAATTACCTTGTTCATGACTTGGAGTTGGCAGCTATTGTTCATGCATTGAAGATTTGAACTGATTACCTCTACGGCATGTCGTGTGAGGTATTCACAGATCATCAGAGTGTTCAGCACTTGTTTAAGAAAAAGGATTTAAATCT